ACTTAATCTCAGTGTCTTCTCCTTGTCATCATTATTTTACTACCTGAAATTAAATTTGTTTGCATGTTTCTTTATTGTCCAACTCTGCCATTAGAAAAAAAAAAACTGCATGTGGGTCAACTTGTTCACTGCCGTATCCTTGGCCCCTAAACTGTGCCTCCATGTAGTATGTGCTCAATATTTATGGAACGAATTAATGAAAACATTCCCTGTAAAGCAAGCAACTTGGTGAGTGCAGACTGCAAGAGCCAAGCTGTTCACTGCCCTGATCTCCTCCCCTCAACTCTCAATTTTCATATTGGTAGCCCTGGATTCATATCCTTGTAAAAGACATGAATTCTTCTGATATGGGTTTGGGAAGGAGGTAAGGGTGGTTGCACCCACTAACTCCTATTAGTAAGGACAAGTTAGAGAGAAGAAATGATAAATCCTGCCTTACCGGTTTTTGGTTGTGAGGGAATGGTAGGATAAACAAAGGGGTAAATGAACCTGGATATGGGGCCTTTGGGGTCATCTACAACTCTTCTATTACTCCTCTATAGAATCTGTCTCTAAGTTACTTTTTTTGTTTAAGCATTTTTTTTTGTATCCATCCTTTTATCTCCTATCCTACAAGTATGCCTTCCTTACATGATACCTGAACTATTACAAATGTCCCCAGCTCACTGCTTCTTCCAGTTTCCTTCCACTTACCCATTCTGCACACGGGCATGGGACAAAAAACAAAAAACTAAAACTTTATGGCAGTTCTCGCTCAAGAATCTTTAACAGCTCTCTTACACTGAGAGAAAGGAAACCATTTATTCCTGTTATTAGTATTTTATAAGCCGCCAATTCTTTTGCCATCTTCACTGGCTGACAGAATGGGTGCTCATGAAAGAACTGAAGTTTCAGTAGTGCCTTTCACCCATCCCATTCTGAATTCATCACGTAATACTCTACACTGCACATTCGGGAACTTCATTGTCAGTACAACTGGTTTTCTTTTTCATGTGTACAGCTCTTGTCTGCCTTCTCCAAAACCACAGAAGGATTTTCAGGACAGATTCATAGTCTCTTATTTCCACCATTTCTCAGGACTGTGCTACTATTAGGTACATACTTACTGTATAGTTAAATAATTAGAGATCTAATAATCCAAGTTTGAGAAGAATTTCATCATGAGGAAAAAATAAACAAAAAAATAACAGACACACAGTAACTGTACCAGGATAGTTTATAAAGCAGCAAAATAAAATAGCAACATTAAGAATTCGAGCAAAAAAAGGCTGGGTTTGGGGGTCTTAGTAAGTACTTGAAAGCAGATGCGTAAACTTCCAAGATCCCAGTTTAAAGGTTGTTACAAAGAATGACTCTAAATAACGCTAACCAAAAAGATGACTTTTGTCTAGTGATCTGGAGACCATTTAAAATATGAATAATATGTTGAAGGGCAACTAAAAGGCGGCTGGTGGGCGGTAGGCCATGGAACTTGATATGCTTTCCTGTCTCTTGAGATGCAAGACCACTTCGTATGTAGACACCTTTCCATCTCTAGAGATTCTGTGTGAACCTGTGCATTATGCCAACTAATTAGAGTACTTAGATGTTACAGCTATATGCAATTTATAAATAATTAGCTTGTAAAGTACTTTGAAAATAGAAAGTGCCAGCAAGTACTCAGAATTACTATATATTAAAAGCTTTTGGTATATAATATTATTTAATAATCAGCTTTTTAAAAGTCATAGTACTTTACAGCTGAAGGGAACTTCTGATCTTGAATCACTGGCATGAGTTTATTTAGAATAAAATGTTATTGGAGTACAAATCAGATGCGGATTAACTTTTCACAGTACGTATGAGTATGATTCACATTCGTCTCCCTGGTCCTTTTTGGACCAACTCAGCTTTCCCTCAGGTCCCTACAGACTTTATGCAGATTCCTTTCACATATACAAGACTCTTGGTTAACCTGCCTACCCTGTTCTCAGTTTCTTCCCTTCACCCAACTGCCTTCTGCAGGTGTTTTTTATGAACCTGTGAGTTTATGGCCACCCTAAAGAGATTCAAGACAGAATGCTACATGATCAGTCTAAATCCTTTTAGGTGCAATGAAGTCGTGATGTGGTGAGCGGTCGCCTCTGGGTGTGCTTCCCACTGTACTTCATCTGCTATCATCAGTCTGTACCTTGCTGTCCACTAATTAAACTTTGTTTTCATCTCCTGACAGGCCTTGGTTCAGAGGAATTAAACTCCATGTAAGTAATTCTGTTTACTATTCCCACAGGCAAAGTTTTGGGAGAGGAAAAAAGTTTTTAATCCTTTTCCACATCCTTTTTAAGCTTCCTTTTATCTTCAAAGGCTAATGCCCTTAAACATTGACTTTCCAGAATTTCTTACTATCACCATAAGAGAATATTCTGTATCCTTGCCCTGTAACATCCCTGCTCCCACCTAAACTCACCTCTTCCAATGTCTCCATGTGCTTCTTTTATTGGAAAACCAAACTAAGCCATTCCCCTGTATGAGTGGTAATGTTTACTCCTCTTAGGCAGTAAATTAATGCTGCTACTGCCTAGTGACCTCCATGTTAACTGCAGGTGACATTTTTCTATTCCCTATTTGAAACCCTTGGCTTCCACACCCTACTTTTGCACTTTCCTACCATCACACTGACCCAAACTTATAAATACTCTTATCTTTAAAACTCTTCTTTGACCCAAACTTTAAATACTGAAGTTGCCTAGGGCTTGGTTCTGGGCCCACTTCTTTGTCACCCTCTATTTTTTTTTTTTTAATCAATTTATGTCATCTTAATGGCAAGGACTCACAAAATTTGTCTCCAGCTTAGATCTCTTCCACGATCTCCAACTCACATAGCCACTGCTTACAATGTTCAAAGATGAAACTTTTGATTCCTATTATCTTTTCCACCTCCCAATCTATTTTCCATTTTAAGCTTTTCAATTTCAGTAATTGGCCCTAAAGCTAGGCAGTAGTCATCTTTGATTCTTCATCTTCCACATTTAATGCCTGAGGTGTACCAATTCTGTGCCAATTCAATTCTAAAATATACCTCAAACCTACCTTCTCTTCTCCATCATTAGCTTCTACCCTTCTAGGCCACTTCAACTCTTTATAGTGTCTCTCTCTGCTACTACTCCAGCCTCCCTATAATTCATCTCCCCCAACACTGTAATCAAAGTAATGAAGATGCCATTCCCACTGTGCTTAAAATCCAAAATCTCTACTACCCCGTCTCTTCCTCCCATGGACTCCAGAGGGACCGGCCCTTCTCCTTGTCTACTGTGCTACAAAAACATACAAATCTTCTTTCAATATCTTCAGTTCCTCACGCCACCAGTTTTCTGCTTCAGGACCTTTGCACATGCTATACCCCCAGAATGCATTTTCTCTCTTTGCACAGCCAGCTCTCTCCCTTCCTGTAATCTCTAGAACACCTTTCCTAACTTCCATGCCTAAAGCAGATTCCTTTCTCATGTTTTCTATCTTGACCCTACATTTGCTGCTTTCACAGAATTACAAGTTTTTAATTTTATATATATTTTTTGAGACAGGGTCTCACTCTGTCACCCAGGATGGAATGCAGTGGTGTGGTCATGGCACATTGCAGCCTCAACCTCCTGGGTTCAAGATACCCTCTTGCCTCAGCCTCCCAAGTAGCTGGGACTACAGGCATGTGTCACCATGCTGGGATAGCTTTTTAATTTTTTTGTAGAGACAGGGACTCCCTATGTTGCCCAGGCTTGTCTCCTGGGCTCAAGTGATCCTCCCACCTTGGCTTCCCAGGTGTGAGTCCTATGGCGAGCCTTACAATGTTTTTTTTTTTTTTTTTAAAGGGGCTCTTATTATAACACATGCTTTATGAGAACAGGACTTACTCTGTCTCATCCACTATCCCTATATATCTATCCCCAAGGCCTGGAACATACTAGTGCTCAAAAATATGGAAATATCTTTAAAGAAGTTGACTGAGTATAGGAAATGTAGGCTCTACAGCAGGCTAGTATAAGAGGTCAGGTTTGAGTGACTGAAAAGCTGCAGGCCATAACTACTTACATGAATTCATAGAGTATTTACTAAGTGTCTACTACCTGTCAGGTGTTCCAGGTACCAGAATCATGTTGACCTGCAAGTTGGTATAATGGGTAAATAAGCACTACCAACAGCATAGTAAATACCAAGGCCAGGAAACACAGGGCGTAATGAAAGCACAAAGAAGTACCCAAACTAGGCTGGGGGGCCTGACACATAAGCTTTCACTTAGTATGGCAGGAGTAAGACTGGCCCAGGAAGAGGGGATAGCATAAACAAGGCCCCAAAGCACAGAGCACTGGTGGATGGGATATGTGTTTTCCAAAACAGTCATTTCCTTGGAATTTTCCTTCTCCTTGGCTTTACCTTCTCTCAAATAGGGCTTCTTCTACGTTACCCTAGGCTATACCTATCTAAGGACTGAAAATGTTATCTAGTCATCCCAATTTTCTCCTTCTGTAACATAATCAAAACATCTTACCTTACTTAGATCATGACTAAGTATCAATATCCCGAAATTCAAGCAGTAAACTGGTATATTTCCTGTAAATGCCTCAAAGATAGAGCCTTACTCCTTAAAACTCTCATGTAAAACCAGAATTCTCACACTTCTTTCAAATTATTCCCACCCTTGCCCAGTCTACCAACCACAGCAAATGATGCAATTCTTTAAAGGCCAAAAAGTTTAGCAAGAAGTCAAGTCCCCACCCCAATTTTCTTTCCTTCTTTTTTTAAACTAACAACAGTCTAACTGGGGTAATGGTTTTTGTCTCTTCCCTTACTCCCACCACCCCAACTACAGACATGGATACACACTCCTTTTAATTCCCATGATCACAGTTCTTATCTAGGTCTCTGATATGCTCAGTTTCCTCATTTTCAATGCTGGCTTAATTAAAAGAAAAAAAAAAGTCATCCTCAAGGACCATTTGGTTGCATGGAACAGAAACCAGTCAAACTAGTTTAAATAAAAGAGGGAATTTATTAGAAGAATACAGAGGTTTTTGCAGAGGCTCCAACAGCTGCGAGGGGTCAACAGCGAGAATCACGCCTTTCTGAAGGACAGAGTATGCTGTAACCACAAACTTCTAATTCTGCGTTCTGCACCATCAGGAAGAGAATATCCTAGAGGACAGTTCTCCTTGTATACTGCATAAGGGACTAGAATGTGGATTCATTTCTGCTTGCTTTTTGATCCTTATAGTCCTTTATGCTGGCCTCAAACTTGTCAAGCACATGTTGGCAGACACTCATGAGCTCATTCAGGCCTCTCTGAAATGGCTCAACAGCTGGAAGGGTACCTCGAGTCTGAATGCGTAAATTAATTTTGCTCTCTGAAGGATGGGTCGTAGTGTAACCACAAAATTCCACTTCCGGGTTCTTCATGATCATGTAACGTAGAGAATTTCCTAGGGTATGGTCTTCCTCGTGCAATACAAATGTCACACAGTGTCTATCTGTTCCAGCTGCCTGGACCATTTCCAGGGCTGTCTTCCTCTCGCCTTCAGCCATTGAGGTCTTCAATCCAGATATTTTTCTACACACATTTTTTATAAAAATGAGATCATACTGAATATTGTTTTGTAACTAGCCTTTTTTCATTTACTATATCACATTGCAACGCATTATTATTAATCTACTCCAGCTACATAGAATTATTCGCCTCTCATTTTCCTGCCTCCACAAACTCTATCAATAAATAATTTATTGCCTCTAGTTTTTCCCTGCTCCATTTGACCATCCACACTGGCCACAAGGGGAGTTTTCTTAGAAAAACACAAACTTAAGTGTTTGCAAAAATATTCTTTGGTAGAGTCACAAGCAAGGGATAGGATTAGAATAGGATTGGTCCTGCTAGAGGATGAAAAGGGGGTTGAAAGGCATAAAAATCCCGATTGCTCTAGTATAAAAATAGAGGATACAGATGATCAATATGCAGGCCCAACTACGGCTTCCATTTTGCAAGAGAAGGAAACTAGGAGAATGGAAGGTCCAGGAGTCAAGCGGGAGGAAGAAAAAGAGCTCAGTGCACAGATGAGTGGCTTTAGGAGCAGACTGTACATAGAAGGAACGTGAGCCGTAGTTACAGGGACAGAGGCACCAGTACCGTCCTCAGGGAGCAGAGGCCCGGGGCGTGATTTTACACGCTGCTGTTCTAACGGGGATGGGCAGTTCGGATACTTAACTCTGGTCTCCCAACTTGTCTTCCCTCCTTAATAGCTAGCGCACCTCTCACTCTCACATTGAAACATTCATGTCTCCTCCCCACCTCTCTCTCCATGATTCTTCTCTGCGCCCCGAGTCAGGCCCCGACTGCCAGGCCGGGCAGCGCGCCCCTCGGCCACCCGCTCCCCTTGGGCGCGGCCCGCTCCGCCCGCCTCCTCCTCGGCCGTTACCTCTCCAGCTCCTGGTCCTCTTCCATCGCTGGGGCGGTTTCCGGATCCTCAGGTGGTGCTGGCGGATCGGGGGTTCTGTCCCATAGCGCGAGGCGTGGAGACGAAGCAGGAAGGAAGGACAGACCGACGCAAGGCGCGGAGGACGGAAGGAGGGAGGAGGAGCCGCAGCGGCGCGGCAGGGCCCAGCCGCGGGGCGGGGCATCAGGCTCCGCCCCCAGGCTCCGCCCCGACGCGGGGTGGGCGGTGGCTCGCGGCCCGGCGGCTCACCTGGGCGACCAGGCGAGGCCACTCACGGCGGGAGGGGCAGGGGGTGGGGCCAGCGCCGCTTTACCCCGAGGCCCAGACAGGCCTGCGGGCGCGCCAGCTCAACCTTGGTACCTTTCCCCAGGTGATGGTGAAGGAGCGGGGCTTTACCTGCCGCCCCCAAATCACTTCCCTTCCCAGTGGCAAGGGCGAAAGAGGCCCGACTCCCCCACTGGGGCGGTGTTGACCCAGGATGGCCCTTCCTGGGACCCCGGCCTCCTGGGCCTTCTGTGGGACGACAGGCTTAGGCTCTAGTCGGTCAACACACCTTGAAGAGGGAGGAGGTCACGTGCAAGATGAGTCACGACAGAATACGAGGGTTGAAGGCGGTATTTGTCTCACCGGGGACCTTGCAGTTGCATTCTCAACTGGGTCAAATAAAGGGCAAGAAAGAAATGTCTTTCTCTTTTGGGGGAGTGAGAGTTTGGGAAAAAACTGTTTCCCACCTCATCCTTTCCGTCCTAGGATTCCTTCTATCCCCCAGAGCGCGTCCTCTCCGGCTGTGGACTTCCTTTCCCTTTACCCGCTGTGGCTCTTCAAACCTCTTCACCTGCGGAACCCGCCCTCACCTTTGTTCCCAGGTGCCCAGCCCCCGCCTCGGCAACCTTCGCCACCCAGACTCGCTCTCCGCCCAGCTCCCTGTCCCGGCCCCGGCCGCGCTCCCTCAGGTGCGCTTCCTCTCGAATAGGCCCTTCTCCCCTAGCCGCCGGCCCCGACCCTGCCCCACTCCAGCTGTCCAGCTGTCCTGCGCAACTACGTTTCTGCTTCCCTGCGCCACCTGTTCTCCTAGCCTCCCCCCACCCCGCCCCGCGATTCCTCTGGATGTTCACTCCTTCCCGAGCAGTGCCACTCCTGGCAGCGGCCCGGGGTGCGCACAGGCACCTAGCCCCCGGGGCTTCCGCAGGGGAATCAGGCGGGCGGCGGGGACAGCCCGGGGCGGGTGGGGGAGGCGGGCGGCGAGGGCGGAGTGGTCTCACTCTAACCCAGGAGTGACGGGCCAATTCTGGCCCGCCTCCCGAGCTCTCGGATAGGTGAAGCCGCCCTCTGGTCCGCCCACCTCCCGCCCTGTGCTACCTCCGATTGGCCCGGCTGCGGGTTGGGCCGCTCGGCCTTAGCGCTGGCCCCCGGGAAGGCAGCAGGGGCGGTTGAGAAGTGAAGTCTTGGCCGGAGTTTGCTTCTTGCCAGGAAATCCGCGGTGGCGGGGGCGGCAATTCTCGGCGGAGCGGAGCCGGGCAGGCTCTCCGCTCCCTCAGCGGGCCGCGGAGAGCGGGAGCTGGTGGCCGTGCGCGGCCCGGGCAGCCGCGCTTTCCCAGTGAGTAACTTTGCCCTGCCCGCCTCGCTGCGCGCCCTCTCCCCGGCTGCGGGCAGCCGCCTCAGGTGCGGGCGTCGGCTGGGTGTGGAGGAGCGCCGCGCCCCGGGAGGCGGCCGGAGCGGCGCCGCTGCTCGCCCCGGAGCTTTGGTCGTCCGCGGCTGTCTTTGCTCGCCCGGGCTGCGGGGCTGGCGTGGACTCCGGTGTGGGGCTGGTCGGGGAGGGAGAGTCGGCGCCCGGTGCCCGCCGCCTGTAGGAGCCCTGGAGGCGGGCGGCCTCCGGCTGTTAGCATTTGCTGGTTCCGGCCACCGCGGTGCAGATCTTGGCGTCGTTTGCTTCTTAAGGGAAGGGAGAGGTGGGGTGAGTGTTTAAATTTCCTGTGTGTGTGTGTGTGTGGTGTCGGCAATGCGAGTGGCACTAGCTGCCTTTGTCGGATTTTGTTCCTCTGCAAAGGGATAGGGAGAGATCGTTCCCTCCGCCCTAGCCTGTTGCCTGTGAATTCTCACCTTTCTCTTTAGGCTGGAGAGGGTGGGAGATAGATTTGACATATTCCAGTGGGTAATTTAAAAATGCGAATCTTGATTTGGAACCAGTTGCACACAAAGCATCGTTCAGGAAATACATCACTCGCTTTTCAAAGCTTTATGCCACGTTTTAAACAAGGACTTTTGACTCATGTAGTGTTTCTTCTAGTATTTCAGTTTACGTTGAGTTTATGAATCCAGACGTTCGTTTGTGCCAGGAGCTAAAGTACACTTATGCATGGACTTTGCTGTATTTATTATCCTTTTTAAAATCACAGAAATCAGAAACAAAGTTGAGTGAAGAGCGGTGGCGGTGCAGGAGGAGGAACACTTGTGAGCTCCAGCTTATTGGAACTGCCTTTAAGAATTTCACATTCTTGCGGCAATAGTACTTACTTGTAAATTGGCCTTCTTCCCAGGACAGATTTTGATATTTCTTTTGCATGTACTTCGATGCAGCACTTATGAAGTTGGATCTCAGTAGATCAATTTTATTTACTTTGCTAGATTTGATTCCCACCCCCACACCTCTTTAGAAAATGGACTTTGGCAGGTAAAGAAGGAAGCGGGAATCTGGTATCCTTTTTGGCTTGTCAAAGCTTTGTTGAGCCATGAATAACAAAGTTTTGGCTTTTTAAGCTTGTCCAAGTCCCACATGTGAGTTTTCCCATGGGGTAAAAGTAGGCCAAATGAGAACCAAAGTAGAATAACATTACTTTTAATTCGGCCCACTTGTGTGTTACATTCTCCATATATCTTGTTTCTCTCGTCTTCTCATCAGCTTTGACATTTTTTCATTATTTATTCATTTAGCCACTGATAAAGTACCTACTGCATGCCAGCCATTGATGGCAGGGGTTAGTTCTTGCCCAGAAGTTTTCTCATTTGGAAACTGATCCATGCTTTTATCCCGCTAGTTACCCTGAAGTAATTTGAACTTAGGGAGCATTTCTGCCTGGAGACCTGTAAGAATAGGTGTTACGTAGGCACCTAGCCTTCAGATTGATTTGGGATATCGTACATTGTAGGCACGGAGCACGCAGGCCACTTAAAAATAAATGCATGTATCTTTGGGCTGTTGTATTATGAGCTTTGCATATGGGCTTGTCTGGCCGAAGGACCCAGTATCCAAGGTGGAAGTAGTAGTCAGGGACATGTATAGTATTCATTTCAGAGCACTTGGCACCTTTTCTTGCTTACATTGGTCACTAAAATATTTACTGAATTGACTTGAACAGAAAAATGAAGGATTTTGTATACCAGATTAAGAAATTTGGACTTTATCCAGTCAGTGATACTGAGCTGCTAATTTTAAGCAGGAGAATGTCATGATAACATTCGCGTTCCAGAAAGATATCTGCAGCATCTGGAGGATGGTGGGCTTCCAGATGGGCGGTATTGAGACTAAGTTGGAGGCTGTTATAATGGAGGGGTTAAGTGCTCAGGGATTCTCTATTCAGATTACCTGGGGTGGAATCAGGCTCTGTCATACACTGAAACCTCTTTGTTCCTTAGGTTTTTCATCTCAGAGTTTGGGGGATAGAACTTGAAAAAACATGTATATTACTTAGAATAGTGATTGCCACATAGTAAGGACTTAGTAAATGCTAGTGTGCTGGCAGTGGAAGGAGAAACGACATGGCATTTAACGCGTATGACTAGGAGGCTGGACCAGGTAAGTGACTAGATAGGCTTAAGGAGGGGAAGGATGAATCCTGGGTTGTTTGATTTCAGGCATTGATTGACATGTACTGGGTAAGCTGGCTGTGGAATTAAAACGGGTCAAATTCTAATTCTATTACTTACCCTTAGAATTACTATCCTGACAGAACTTTGATTTCCTAATATTTGGGAAATGATTGTCATACCTGTTCAGTAGGGTTTGAGAAATTACACATGTAATGCCTTTGGCAGGGTACCTAGCACATTCCAAGTGCATAGATGATGACGTTAATGAGCTAGTGGAATGTTGGAGGATATGAGAAGAAGCAGTTAAAAACAATTAATGGTAGAGGTGTGGAAGGGGAGATAAGTTCAGTTTTGGACCAATCTAAGGAGGTGCTAAATGGATGGTTGAGAGATCCATGATGCAGTTGTTGGATAGTTGTGTCTCACAGGAGCTAGGAAAGAATAGAAAAGAAAAAAAAAGAGTTCACAGAAAGCCTTTATGGGTGTGGTAAGCTTTATAGGCGATTTAGAGGAAGGGGAGGGTGAAGGGGTTCACAGTGGAGCAATGTCAGAAGTGTTGACATTGAATATTAGGCATTTCTGTCCTTAAAATACATTTTGGCCACCATCAAAGAAAGAAGGACTCCAGGCTCTTGTAATCTGGTTGGCTCTTCGGCCTTCTCCCCCTCTTCTTTCTTTCCTTTCTGACTGCCACCCCAAAATTCAAATATCTTTAAATTGTATTATGAAGAACTATTTAACTTCCCCTCCTGCTTACAGGGCCATAGTTCACAGGCCCACCTTCCTCTATCCAAATGCTTCTAGGTTTTTAAAAAAGAATCACAGGTCTCATTTCATAGGTTCTCCTCTGTTTAGGAAGCAGTGTTGGTTGAAAAAGTTATATATATGTATTGTGCATGTAGAATTTGAAGACTGGGGCAGGCCTACCTAAATTGAGCCTGTTGGAGGGCCTGAGAGTTTTACAAAACACATCCCTTTTAGCTTTCCTGGCATGTGTTTCTTTTCCTCAGAAAATACAAAGCAGTAGGAAAATCTGTGGTTAATAAGTTATTTTGTTTGGTTGGATTCAGTAAAGGTGGCTATTTTGTGTATTAGCCTTCTGAGAAGTTATTAAGAATAATTTTTTGACCAGCTGCAGTGGCTCACGCTTGTAATTCTAGCACTTTGGGAGGCCGAGGTGGGCGGATCACGGGCGGATCACGAGGTCAGGAGTTCGAGACCAGCCTGGCCAATACAGTGAAACCCCGTCTCTACTAAAAATACAAAAATTAGCTGGGCGTGGTGGCAGGTGCCTGTAATTCCAGCTAGTCAGGAGGCTGAG